TATGTATGTATGTGCAAATATAAAGACACACACACACACACACACAGTTTCTTTTAAGTCACACTGGGCAATGAATTCAGAGAGCAATAAGCTACATTCCCAGCCCTTTTAATTTTTTTAACATAGGGTCTCACAAATTGCCAGGCTGACCTTTAACTTGTGACCGTCCTTCTTTAACCTCCCAAGTAGGTGGGATTAAAGGTGTTTACCCTATATTCAGCCCTAGTTTTATATTCTAGTTTGGGAAGAAGTAGTATCAATTAAGAGTCAAAGTGAAGCTTCTGTAACACAGCGTTCCCCCAAACTGCAATCTCCTTAATGCAAAGGAAATCTGTTGATCTCTCTCATAGGCAGATTAGAGGTGAACTGTCCTAAATAGTGGGCAGCTCTGCCCTACAAGGTAATTGGAGTCCAACAAAAGTTAACTGTGGATATCAGTTTATGCCAAGGATTGGGGATGCATGGTGAAGCAAAAAGACAGAAGACAAAGTGAGCCAAGACATAACAAAAAACTCTAATAGAGGACAGGAAAACATGAGCATGGCTGGTAGCAACAGGAAGAATAGTAGGGGGACTATTTGGTCAACAATATCAGGACAGTTTGCAGGTGAGTGGAACCTGGAGAGGACTGTGACAAACATGAGGCAGTCTCAGCCTAGCAAGGGACTAAGAGTCAGAGCAAGATCTAGGAGGAGGAGAAACTTCAGTTTCTTGCATTGGGTGTCAGATTTGGGGAACAAGGGAAAGAGCCTGTGTATGGTTTCCTAAATAATATGACTCGCTATTGATATTGTTGACTTTCAGTGCATAGAAATGAGGAGTAATTTTCTTCCAGCTAAAGATATCTTATGCCGAGCAGATTAAGGACGATGAGCAAATAATTAAAATGCATTAAAATTTATGCAAATTGAATTAGTAGAAACTGAAAAAGAAATGAAAACAAAGCCAAAGCAGAAACACTGAATATTTTTATATATACTGTATTAAGAACCAAATAGTAATTTCCATATATAGAAAAAGAAAAATATACAGTGAAAATGAATTAACTAAGCAAAACAGTTTCTCGGTGGAGCATAAATGGAAATGTTACAGACATCAAAGTGGGGCAGTCTGCTAGGAGAAGCAAAGACATATGAAAACTAACAGAAAAACTGAGAAAATAAAAGCAAAGTTCATCCCCTGTATTGCTCTCCCCACCTTGTTTTGACTGATTTTACTTTATTCTGTTTTGTTTGATAGTATCAAGTTTGAGGGTATAGGCAACTACTTTGAAGACAGTAAGAGTCACTATGGTACCCATTCTGGTTTGACTGTTATCATCTTTTGAAGTCCTGTAAGGTCTCCAATGTTTAGGTTTTATTGATTTTGTTCTGTACTGTTTTGTTTAATTCTATTATACTTGATGATATAAGCAACTCTTTTTAAGATAGCAAGAGGCATAATGGTAACCATTGTTGATCACCTGGTATTCTGTTTTTACATCATGTACTATGTCCATCCTTCTGTTCTGACTGTTTTGCTTTGTCACATTTGGTTTTTTTCTCTTCAAAAAAAAAGTAATAACAACTGTGGGAGTAATAAAACCCAAAATGTGTAATTGTTATTGTAAAAAAGAGAGGAAAGGAAAGTGATCTAAAGGATATAACTACATATATATTTAAGTGTGTAAGATAGAAAACCATATTACTAAGTTTTTGTTGTATCACTGAACAGAACTGTTTGCAATCTCACTGTTTGAATGTCCACTTTGTATGCTTTAATTTTGTAATTTGAACAACTATTTCTAAGATGACAATATGTAATCTATTAACTAGTGATTTCTTACTGTATATTTTTTCCTTGAAATTATGTATTACTTGTACCCTTTCACTGTTTTGTTTTCTCTTTAAATAAAAAAAGCAAAGTTCATGAAGGAAAATTGAAAAAGGCTAAATGCTTTGATCATGCGGCATATAAAAGAGTTTTTGTTAATAGATGTACATAGAAATCTGATTTTAAATGATAGCTAAGTGATTAAGATATTACAAAAGTCTACCTACTTACCTGTCCATCTTTCTGTCTATAGTGAAACAGTATCAATGATTTTATTATGGAAGTGCAAATTGAACCCAAAATATAGAAAACTTGGGAAAATCTGAGTCATATACATCATACTTTTGTTTATTAATCATTGTGAGTACTGTTCAGTGATTAGTTCCATTTTATTTTATTTTATTTTCCCCCATCCCCTGATTAGTTCCATATTAGAGAATTTGTGGGGGAAACATTTGGATAATAAAAAATATAATAAGTTTCACATTTATAGAAAGAATGACCCAGAAGTTTTCAGACTGATAAACTGTATCAAGGAAGAAGCCAGAGAATATAGTTGAGAAATCATCCCATGCATATTTTAATAAAAACGATGGCTCACACAGTGTGGTAGTACAAAGAGCACATCCCAGCAGGCTATGGCACCCCTTCCTCTAATGATGACAATTCAGCTAATTAAGAGGAAAGAGACATTAGCTATCGTGGTTTCACTGAGGGGTCTGAGATGTCCTGCCCAAGAAATACGTGACTGAGGATTGAGTAGTGCTAACTAACCAATTAAGAAAGAAATAAAACAAAATAGTAAGAAGAAATGAAGGACAGGAAGGTGCCTTAGAAATGGTGGCCAGCAGTGCTCTTGGACAGGACACTCAGCTAATGAATGAAGAACAGCCAGTTATGTGACAGTCTGAAGGAGAGTACTGCACACAGTCAGGGTCCTTGGCCTGTGTGCTGCACACAAAGAAAGGCAGGGCTGTGAGGTGCCTGAACAAAGGGACAACTGTAGGACAATGGCAGGGGAGGGAAGGACCCTGTAGGTGACTAAATAGCATGGCTTTCATTCAAGGGCAAAGGAATGAGGCACAAGATAAATGAGGCTGGAAGAATCTATTCTTCCAGTAGAAGAGGCTGCAGAGGTAGAACACAATTGTGTGTGTGTGTGTGTGTGTGTGTGTGTGTGTGTGTGTGTATGATCAGGAGCAACAAGATGTAGAAGCTGTTTATACTTGGGAACTGACCGTGGATTCTTGTGGGGAAGCGAGGGCAAAGCAGAGTCCCAGGCTTTGGTTGATCAGCTTTGCTCTACTAACTGCAATGGGGAAGACTCAGTATTGAAACCTGGGAAGAGATTTGGGACTAGGCATTCTGCCTGAATATTTGACTTGCCTCCTTTCCATTCATCTGATAGAAAGGAGGATGTGATTCTGGGGTGTAAGGGCAGAAGGTGGCACTGAGATACAGTGGTTAGAAGTCACGGTGTAGCAGTGATATTTGGTCATCTCCTTTGGGTCTTCAAAGTTTGTGGGTGAGGTAGCAACTTATAAATAAAGATGGATGATGCGAAGCCCTCTCTTAGCCTTTCCAAGGTACACTATCTTATATCTGCAGAGGAAAGATTCAAAGTCAGTTTCTAGCACCTTCTCTGCAGGTCCTACCTATGGCTTCTAAAATTTCTCTTTGTAATGTGGGAGTATTTCCCACCAATTTTGTTGGTTTGGCCTCTTGTAACTAAGCTGAAACTGAGATAAGAAAATGCCGATCTCACCATCATTACACTTTAATTCCTAGCTCCCTAAACTTGATATGACCCCTGCCTCCGAGGGACAGTCTGTATGTAATGCCTTGGCCCATCTCAGTTCCTGTGGATATTCCTGGGATAATACCACCCTTTCACTGCTCCTCATGGCTCATCTCTGAGCTTTCTCCCTCCACTAAAGTCAATCCTATGACTTTTCACCACAAAGACAACAGGTCTTCCCAGACCCACTGTTCTCGAAACTATGGATAACACCTTCTTATCATTCAGCTTGCAGGTCATTTGTTCCCATGTCCCTAATCAGCCTGTACTACACCTCCTTACTCTGTGTGCTTGTCCTGGCGCTCAGACTTCTGCACTGCCATCCTCTGTGAGCTCTAGAAATATGGGTGATCACCACCCTGCTCTCTCCTGAGAAACAAAGACCTGCCATAACCTGTCCTTGACCCCTGATTCACCCTATTTACTGAGATAAATAGAGCTGGATGTATTGGAACAAATATTCCTAGTAGTACAGATGCCAGCTTTGCATACATCAAAACTATCTATGCATTGCTAATTACAGCTCTCTGTGCCTGGTATGACTACAAAATTTCTTTTCCCTTTGCCCTTTACCCTCTGCTATGATCTCCACTCATTTTCCGGATGGATTAAAAACAAAACAAAACAAAACAAACAAACCCCATGAGCTTTGGGAGATGAGGTCTTTTGTTCCAGAGAGAACACTGGGTCATCCCAGAGCTTCTCAATGGCAGAACATTTTCTCTTTGTCTTTCTTTTGCATCCATGTGCCATATTTCCAGTTAGACCGATACCCTTAGCAGGAGTTTTGGTATGGGAGTGTTAGGGTTCCTGTTCATCCTGTCTCCCAGAAGCGAGCACAGAGCAGGCAGTGGTAATGCTGACTACATGGCTAAATGGATGGACGAATGGGTTGAACATCAACTGGAGAGCTTACTGGGTGGTCTGTCCTGTCTTTGCCTTCAGATGTCTTAGTGCAGAGTTTATATTTTGGGGAAGATACTGGTTTAGGCAACCTCCTTCTGCATGGTCAAATTCACCTCACATTGTTGGTGGGAAAGCATAGAAGAATGCCTATTCTTGCATCCTAAAGGCTGCAAAATCATGTTGATCTTTTCTCAAAGTCACCTGCTTTAGTTCTTCACCTTTAGAAAACTCACCATGACCATAACAATTTAAAAAACATATTTCTTGTATCATATTTCTTGTATATTGTATCTTGTAACATATTTCTTGTGTATTTCTTGTATCATAGCACCATTGCTCACTCCATGACCAGAAAAATCCTATAGAAGTCAGTGTCAATGTGTCCTGGATTTTTGCCTCTTCCAGAGAGGAAATATTAGTGGCACTCAGTATTAGTGACTTGATGTAGTCAGGGGTTGTGCAGAAAACAATTAGAGTCAGGACATGGAGTTTATAATATTGTTTTATGATGGTCACTGGGAGATAACACAAGAAAATGCAGGAAATCTATCCACAACAGCAGAGACAGAATATTTAGCCAAGGGCCTGAATCCCACAGCAGTATCCCACATGAGTCCAGATGAAGACCAGAGCTCATGACAATGCTTCCCATGAGTCCAACTAGAGCTCCAGAGCTCACAAAAGGACTCACGCCAGTCTCTTTTATGGATCCGTGCCAGGAAGGCCCAAAGGTCAGCGGTAGAAGCTAGGAAGTCTATGCCAGCAGGGTGAAGGAGCTGTGCTGGTAGGTTGAGGGTTCTACGCTAGAGCCAAAAAGTCACCCTCACAACAAAGACCAGGGCTGTCCTGAAAAGCACCACAGCCATCCTCAGCAACATCAAGGCCCCAAGTTCCTGTGATGATAAGCACAGTTGGGTATGTGTCAGGAAGCCAGTGTGACAAGTTCATCCTGAAGACCAAGCGGCGCACATCTTCCCCTCCGGAGCCAGGAAGCAATGCTCGATGTGAGGACCAGAGCTTCTCCAAGAGAATGAACGGCTCAAACAGCAGCTCATAGGAGAACCCACAATGCCTCAACCCCTCAATGTACCTTAATGCCTAGCTTCTCCTTCTCCACGTCTCTATTTATGCTGGCAACTTTCCTCAGGTGGGACATCTACACTCAGCACCATGCTGATGTAATCCAGCTGGCATTAAGTTGATCAGCAGTTTTTAATACACAACGTGGCTCTCATGGTAAATCAAGAAGATCTAGAGTAAGATATAACTTTGTGGTTAAAAGAATAAAAATCCAGTACAACATATGTAGGGGATATCTAATTTATGGACATCTGATTAGACTGGGAGATAAAGACAGAAGACACTTGTTAAGTTCCATAAATGTTTTAGACTTTTGAGGAATATCTAAAGTTTTTCCATGTGGGCATTAAGAAGATGCAAGTTTGATCACATGGCATGTGTCTCTTTTCTGCAGCAATTGAAGACATTGTCAAGACCATTCTCTTAACTATAAACTTACGTACCTATATCACAGAAAAGACATCCACAGTGGGCTCTCTACCTTATGTTATCTGTGGGTTCTACATTTGTGAATTCAAAGAAGTGTAGATAAAAAATATTTGAAAAAATATCACCTGTACTAAATATGTACAGGTTTTTTTGGTCACTATTTTCTGAACAACATAACAACTATTTACACAGTGCTTATATTGTGGTAGGTATCACAAGTAATCTAGAGATGATTCTGTTATCTGCAGAATGTCCTCAATCCAACTTCCAATTCAAGCCATGAAAAACCAGAATCTCCTAAAAATACACACTGTGAAGGAAGGCAGAAGCTGAATTTTATTTCTCAATTCACAGAGATCCTTGTTTCTTTCCAGAAATTAGTTGGCATTTCAAGAGCTAGTAGGACCCAGGTTTGGGCAGAAGCTAGAGACAGGGGCTGGCAGTCATTTAAAGTCCTAGACTTGGGTTTTCCATTCTTGGATCAGGGTGGGCCAGTAGCACAAAATAATAGTAAAGTTCACTGCCTGGAGTCCTCAGACCCCTGCCTCACCACTCAGAAGCTGGGTAGTTAAGCTATATAACTACTGTAAGCTTCGGTTCTATCTAGCTAAAATGGTGACATTGGCTATGTGTGGAGACACATTCCTCCAGGAGGCTGAGGCAAGAAGATCACAGGCGTGAGCCCAGGCTGAGAAATTCAGTAACTTAATGACACATTGTCTCAAAATAAAAAATAAAAGGTGGGCCATGGATGTAGCTCAGAGTTAAACTCAATCCCCAATAAAAAGGCATTATTATGAAAATGAAAACAAACAAAAAATAAATTGATCAGAGTATCGCAAATGCTCACTCAGTGAGACCCCCAATGTCATTGTCATCATCATCATCTTTAATGTCATTCCTGGCCCATGCTGTGATGTTGACTCAGAGATTCAGGCCATATCAACCAAGGACCAGCTTGTAATCTCCCCAAGGAAATCCTGGTGATTTTTTTTTCCAGGGGATATATTGGAGTTACATTTTATAGTACATGTGATAAAGACGTGACTATTGTGGAAATAGTCTAAAGCCTTGGTTTGTTGCTCTCTGAAGTGAAATGAGGATAAAATACATGAAATGTTCCTTAGATATTTAAAATCTGGTCACCTAGGAATGGGCCAAATCTCAGGATGTTAGGGCTTCTCCGATCCCGTCCTTTTGGGATTGAAGAGTGAACCCTGGGCCTTCAGTCACATGAGCTGCAGCCCCATCCCTTTTCTTATATTTTATTTTGAGGCAAGGTCTTGCTAAATTGCTAACAAATCATAATGAAACTTTCAAAAGTTAAAATGTTTTCTAGCTTTCATTGAATTTTTTTTTTTTTTGTAAAAAATCATCTTAAGGAAATAAGAAGTCATCTTGCCCTTCCTGTGAGCCAGTGGCAATCATGGGCAGAGAAGAGAGAACCCAGAAGTGAACCCACTCTTTTTGTGAACTGGCAGCAGCCAGATGGGCTAGGAAGAGAGCCAAGAAGTCAATGCACTCTTCCTGTGAGTCAGCTGGTGTGCAGGCTGGGAGACAAGAAGAGCCTCTTCTGCCAGCAGATTTGGAGGAGCATAGGCTGGGATGATAGCAACTGATGTACAAAAACAATTGAACGCTTGTATTGACTGACGGACTTTGCAGGCCTAAAGCCTGTAGTTTAAGTATCTGTTTAGAGGGTAACATTATGCAATGCAGCAACTATGGGGGATTTCCTTCTGTTTTGCTTTTGAAATCCAATATTGTTCCCACTGTTTTGTTCTTTTTTATTGTTTTGTTTTATTCCCTTCAAAATAAAAAAATCATGTTAAGTTTTATAATTATGAAATATATCAATATTTTAGGGTACAAAATAATACACATCCCTATAACCAGTATTAAATCACTTGCTGTATTTGCTTTAATTATTCTCTAAACAATAAATATTATTTATCTTTCTCAAGCATGTTTTCATACTTGTCTTCCAGATTAGAGATCTAGAAATCTCATACATTTTTGAATTTTAAAGTCCACATAAATCATATGCTTTATAAACATCTTCTCTATTTGCTTTTGAAGACTTTGTTGAGTGAAAAATAATTATTGAGTGCCTGGGTCCTTTAGCATTATTTCATTTATATTGAGAGAATCAAAGACATACTACATACAATTCTTGCCAGAAAATTTTATAACTTAGGTAAAAATACTGAAATGAAAAAATAAGAATTTTAATATCTTACCTAACATATAGATAGAATGGGGATAATTCCCAACCATATAGAACTTGTTTTAGGTAAGAAATTGTGCATGGTTCTAAATAAAATACTTGAAAAGATCAATTTGATATGTTCTAAGTTTAGAAGATCAAATTTTTTGGCATTAAATTATAAGCCAATTCCAGAAAATAGTCAACCCATATTGACAATTTTTACTTTATCTTCTGCGAGCTCATTCAGGGACTCCTATGATTAAAACTTCTGATAAATAATAATTTAAGATTTGGGTAATCACCATGGATACAAGAATATGTTAAGTTTTTAGGTAAGATTACTGGTACACTTCTGTAACATGAGGCAGAACATTATTAGTTCCACCACAGGGGGAGACTATTTTTAGATTTTTTTTTTTTTTTTTTTGTACCGGGGATCAAACTCACGACCTAGCACTTGCCAGCCAGGTGCTTATGCTGCTGAGCTAAATCCCTGGCCCCTAGATATGTTCTTTATGATATTCTTTCACTTAGAAATACACAAACACTAGTGTACTTACACTAGTAAGTACAAAGTTGGTGAAGGCTGGAAATAAAAGTAAGCTGCATCAAAACTTGTAAATTTTGTGACAAGTAAGATGCAGAATGTGAAACGTAAGTAAACTGATGCAAAAGTATTTACAGTTTCTGCTTTATAGAGCAGGCGTTTGTAAATTTTACTTTGTACAAACTTAAATTTTTAAGCAACAATTTTGAAAGAATTGTGGACTAGGAACAAGGGAGATGTGCTTTCTTTTCCAAATTGTCGCAGACCCAGCATTTCCAAAGTGATAGCTGTTTGTGAAGAGAGGATTTGGTGGACTATTGCATGAAGGATTTTGAGAACTAGATGGTGTTTGTGGTGAAATGCTGGACTTGCTTCTCCCTGAGAGCGTAGAAGATGCCACCATCTGAATTTACAGCCAGCCAGGGATTCAAATTCATAGATATTATCCCATACTTTACTACAATTCCTTGTTAAATTAGACTATCAAACCGCGGCTCTGTTGTACCATATTTTCTGACATAAATGCTCATTCTATATCTATTGGAGGAATTTGTTAATGTTCTGTGCGCCAAAACCACGCAAATCGTTGGATTACCTGTGAAAAGCATGGTGCCCTATACCTAAATATTAAACAATACCCAACTTGATCGTGAATCAAGGGACCCAAGTGTAAAACATCATGTGTTGGGTACCTCTAACTTGGAGTTTACCCATGCCGAGCACCCCGGAGGGAAATGGGTCTTCGTGCCATTCAAAGTGTCGTGGAAGCCGGTGAGGAGCATCTTATCCCGGTGCAGGAGGAAAGAGTGCGGGTTCTCAGGGGCTCTGGGTCAGAAAGGGCAGGTTGATGGCCCAGGCCCCCTTCTGGGCTCCGGTGAAAGGCTCTGCGCCCTCCGAGCGCACGCCGAGCCCGATTCCAGGCTCCGCCAGTAAGTGGCGCTGGGCCCCGCCGACGCCGGGCTGCGGATCACCTGCAGCGGCTGGCCCGCGAGCTCCGCCCCGCGCCGCCCGCCCCCGCCCGCCCCCGCCCGCCTCGGCCGCCGCACTAGCCGGCTCCGCGGGCTCCACGGGCTCCGCGCACACGCTCCGAGGAGCCGGGCGAGCGCGCAGCCGGCTGCGCTGCGGGGCCCCTTCCCTGAGCGCCCGGCGGCCCGGCCGCCCTCCTCCCGCACAGTGCAGCGCACGGAGGCCCCGCGCTTCGGCCGCCCCCGCGCTGCCTCTTCTGCTCTGCGGGCGGGGACCGAGGGGCGCTTGGCACCTGCAGCGCGGGCCCCTGTGGCCCCCGGCTCCGGGCAGCGGCCCGAGCAGGCGAAGGAGCGGACGGCGCGCGGGGCGGCCGCCGGGCTCCGCAGGGCTCGGAGCGCGGAGCCATGGCCGATGGGGGCGAAGGCGAGGACGAGATCCAGTTCCTTCGAACTGTAAGCGCCGCGCCGCGCCGCGCCGCGTGCTCTCCCCGGGGAAGGGGCGCCGGGGCTTCCGCTAGCCAGGTCCCCGAAGAGGGGCGGCGGGGCGGCGCAGGTGCCCCTCGGGCTGCGGGAGGGCTGGCGTCACCAAGTGTGTGCAGGTGTGCGTGTTGGGCCGAGCGCGTGTCTGTGCACGCGTGTGGACAGCCGGGGACAGAGCGTGGAGAGCTGACGGGAAGCGCCCAGGCTCGGACTTGGAGTATCCGGCACCCGCGCCTGGCAGCTGTGGGAATAGGGGCGACAGGGGCAGCTGATCTGGCGGGGCACAGACCTTTGGGGTTGCCAGGGAAGAAGACATAGCAGGGTGGCACTCGAGGCGCAGGGGACGTGAGGACTCGGGCTGTCGCCGGGAATACCGTTGCCACGCTGTCCCTTGGGCTTTGGGACCCGTGCGCTGTCACGGAACGGAGATAGCAAGATCGTACTTGGCTGGTGTAGCAGCGGCCAGCCAGGTTGAGGGTGCAGGATGCTGCCCTGAGATAGCCCTAAGTCGGCTGCTGCGAAGGGTGTGGGGAGGTTGCCTCTGTGGTGCCCGCGGTTGCCGGGACTGGTGCCAGGGGGTGTTGTGACCGCTTGGAGAGTGTGGAGGCTTGGGAAGTGTGTGTGTGTGTGTGTGTGTGTGTGTGTGTGTGTGTGTGTGTGTGTAGGTGGGTATCATGAACATGTCGTTTTCTAAATGCTGGCTTATTGAGTGCAGCAAAGTGCGTGCCTACATGCGTGCGTGTATGTGTATGTGCGAGCGCGTGTGTGTGTGCAAGGCCAGAGTGGTTGCCCGGAATTTCCACACCGGGTGGCAGACAGGGAAAGGTTGGCTCCACTCTAATACAATTTTTTTTCTCCTTAAGTACCTCTTGGCGCTGCTCTTCCTCGCTCTGATTTGTTGAAACACTGCGGATACTCCCAGACCGAGGCATTGCTCACCTCCAAGCAGGGGCTGAGAGCCTCGGGACCCAAAAAGCACTCTAACTTCGTGTTCCCAATAACCCACTTAGCCTTTTCAGCGTCCTTTCAGTCCTTCTTAGCTTCAGCTCTCCTTTCCAAATGTTATTCCCTTAATGGATTCTCCTGGACCCCCACGGAGGACTGCAGTCTCTGCTGTTACCCTTCCCAGCAGTGCAAAAAATCCCACTGCCCAGTTATTACGATTCCTTGTATAATCTCGGGAAATCCTAGAGATGGTTGCATTGCTAAACTACTAACCAGATGGCAACTTTTAGGTGTGAAATGGTTTTGATGCTACATTTTGATAAAATTTGCACAGAACATTATAAAAGGCCATTTTTTCTTTTGCTTTTCCTCATCTGGGGGGAAGGACCTCATTTGTGCACTAAAAGGGCTGGGAGGAGCCTTTGGAAAGGGAAAATTCAGGGCATCCATGAAATGTGGAGTGGTCTGACATGGCTGCATGTCTGCACCGCTGTTTGTACTGTTGGAGGTACTGTTGCCCAGGACCTGCTGTTAAGAACAGTTTCTCTAATACCTGGCTCTTGGGGAATATTTTAAACCTTAAGCCTTCTAGTAATACAGTTTGTGATTTTTCTTAGAGGAAAATTGTTGTTTTTAAAAAAATAATTCAAAGCCATATTTGACTTTTTTCTCAAAACTACGACGTTTTTTTTTCAGGCGGATTAAATGTTTATTCGTCATGCGATTTTTAAATTAGAGTTTTATCAAGCAACATAGGGTTAAAATTAGCTAGGAAATTTTGGATGGTTTCATGCACTCAGGAGCTTCCTGCGGGCTTAAATGTTAAGCTGAGCTCATGGAGGTGCTGCTATCAGAATGCTTAATGGAACTGTTCTGGTGATGTGGTTTTGTACATATAAAGCAATGGTACCTCGGTGCTGCTCGACAGCTGCCTGTCAGCTGGTGCAACACCTTTGATAAGTGGGTCTTGGGTATGATCTGGCAGCCCTGCACTGGAATTTTTCCTTTAATAAAAGGTCTGTAAGTAGTTGTGCTGATGATAAATGACCTTGAAGGGAAGGTAGCACTGTGGTGTGGGAAGAAGGGGAATTTCTTTTTTTACTAGCATTAATATCTGAAAGAAAAAAATGGGTCTTTTCCCAACATTTTGCCATTTTAAAATGGAAATTTTCAAATGCTGTGCTAGCGCTTGTGTCTACTGCCTTGAATCCTTTCCATTTTGTTGTCTTAACCTGAGAATGTTGACGGTTTGGAAATGTTAGTAGGATTAGTAAGAGAGAGCATGTCGTTCCTACGTTAAATTCTTCGTTTTTTCCCCTCTGAGGCATTTATTTCTTTGTGATACAGAATCTTGTCAATATGAGTTACTTCATCTTTTTTTTAAAAGAAAGTATTCCAAGGAATATTCAGATCGTACATTTGATAAAATAGTTGTCTGAAAACTTCTGATAGTACCTGATGAAGTTGTTGTGCATAGAAAGCATGATCAAATAGTCATTACAACGCCCTAATTGTGAAGTTGTTCTGGTTTGAGTACCCTAATGATTATCTCAAGCAGATCCTGTCTGTCGAGTTTGTATTCAGCAGTCCAGCACATTGAGGCATCTTTGTGGCTACTGTCCACAGCTTTTTCTTTTTCTACAAGAGGTCTGAGGTCATTGTTAAGGGGAGTGGAGGTTACATTTTTAATAGATTGAAAATGAAGTCTTAATATGTGAGTTTTTGTCACTTTTTAGCTTATACTTCCCTCTCCCACCTCCTATCATTAATCTGGTACTTGTGAGCCTCCCAACATTCCTTCCCACCAGTTGTGGAGATGAACAATCTGCTTCTATTCAGTGACTTCCCCGTGGTCTGGTTATCTTTAGAGAGGTTGAGAATATGTTCTGTAAACTCTGAGATAGGCTGGGACTTTTAACTAGAGGAATCCTATCATAAAATAAACCCTCAGCTCCTGATGTATTTCTTCACTGTCATATCCCATATATCCGTGATTTGAAAGACATGATTTATTTTATTTTAAAGTTTCTAATTTGTAAACATCAACATGGCAACAAACTGTACCTCGATATTTTAAAATGTGAGTCTTTTTAGCTACACTTGTCTTTATTTCAAGCAATCTCTTGGATTTCATAGAACGTGGATACCTCTAATGTTTAAGAAAACTATGATGTCAAGGGCTGATTTTTTTTTTCCTGAGTACTTTTTCTTTAAATTTGCGTATGCACAGTTGAAGTACCCTTGGGTTCTATTGTGTCATATGGTCTTATATTTATGTGCAGATGGAGACTTAAAACAGTCTTGGCATAGAAATGATTCTGTTAGGAATGCTTACAGCCTTCCTCTGGCCTTCCTTCATAGAGGAACTGTTTCACTATAGATTTCTTCTCAGTTCTTGTACATCTTGATTCACAATGACAAGAACCAGCTTAGAACGTATTCACCAATTCATAGCAGTAATAATAAAGTGTTGATGCTAATGTCTGACACTCTGTAGGGTAGGTTGAAATACTTGGTCCTCGCTTGTGAGAGGAACAATGGCTCAGCTGTGCAGAACTAGGACTGAAATGCGAATCTCAGGCCAGCAGTGTCCTTTGCGGGGGAGAAAGGCTGCTCAGGGATGTGTTAGGTTTACAGCAAACAGTGCCCCCAATTTTCTCAGCTGTGAGAGTGTCATCCAGTTCAAAGGAGAGAGTGAGTGAGTGGTGGAGATTTATACCTTTTGCTCCTTTGTTAATGAAGTCATGCCACTTAGAGCTTTAGATAGATGTGCGTGGCGGTATTTTGTCAAGGAACTCCATGCCCTCTCCCCCAAGGCTTATGTCACCAGATTTTTTTACTTAGAAGTTAGTGTGTACACATTGGCAGGAAGAGCAGAACCTAAAACACTATGGCACTAATTTATTTGCCATTCACTTGTATTCGTACTTTGTCTCTAGATAAGTGTTTTTATGAAGGCTGGATTACCTGAGGAAGGATTCCAGAAGCATGGGCCACTGTGGGGAGTGTTGTGGGGAGAGGAAGGAATGATAAGGCTCAGATTTGTCTCCTGAAACTCTACCACTGTGGGCATTTTATTAGTTCAGAAAAATATTTGTTGAGCACCTTTTGTGCGCATAGCATAGTTTTGAGTGTTGAGGAGGCATTCCAAGTAAGTAGAAAAAAGGTTTATAATTATAATGCACAGAAAAGACTTGGAAGCTGGCCTGGTACAGTTAGGAGGAAAAATGCATACCCAATCTCTAGTACAAGAGTAGGAAGAAACCTTTAGGAAATGTTCCCCAGTCTTGCAGATAAGAGAAACTCACACTCCAGTTAGTGCATAGAATAATGCAAAGTGTATGAAAATCGCTGAAGCATTGCCAAAAAATGTAATGCATCAGCACAGTGTTCTTTCTAGACCAGGTTTAAACCCAAGTGTAACATTTTATCCTTACCTTGACCTTCAAAGTGTACCTGTCTGTGACATCTCCCTTTTCCTTCCAACCACTGAAAAGATTTCTTTTCTTCTTTTTTAAGGGTGGC